CCCGGCTCCTGTCGCCGCCGCCGCCGCCTCGCCAGCCAGAGTTGGGCTCCGTGGGGCTTCCCCCCTCGCAGCCTCGGTCCTTCCCCGCTGCCTGCAAGTCAGCCTGGCTCCGAGTCACGTGTCAGTGCCTGAGGCTGAGACTGAGAGAAAAAAAACACGCTTCATTCCTTCTTCCACCGCCATACTGTATTTTACACTAAATCTCATTTTTATTCCAACATTTTACTCCCGCTCGGTGAGTACCTTCTCAGTGGCATTCTTGTCCTATTCTTTTTTTTGTCCTTTTTTTTTGTTTTTTTTTGTTTTTGTTTTTGTTTTTCTTCTTCTTTTTTTTTCCACTTCTTTGATTATTGTTTATATTTGGGAAAGCTGGAGGAGCATGGTTTTGAGCCTTTTCCTGAATACAAGTTTTTCTAGCATGCGATCGTTCTGTAGACAAGGCGCTGTGTCTGGGAGTCCGCGGCGACCGTGCCCGCTGGAAGCGACTCCCCAAGTCCAGCAAAATATGCAACTGGTTTTATGGAAAAAGCGATGTGAAGTATGGTGCTTATTTTTTTTCCTTTGTAAAAATTAAAAAGCATGTTTCTAACTCTTTTTTTTTGCATACTCTTTTTCTGATAACATTTTTGTATAGGTGGGATTTTACGGCAGTGTTTACAAGTTTGTGGCTTTGGAATACTGGTGCGAACCACTGAGCCAAGGCGTTAATTTTACATTTTTGTGCCCTTTTTGGAAGCCGGTGAGAACAAATTCGTTTTTTTCCCTCCTGTTTTTGATACCCATTGATAACATGAAACTTTTCTTGCAGCTGGTTACTGGGATCATTTTTAAGCAAAATACTTTTTTTCCTCCTTTAAATTAACTATGACTTTTGCACATTTGACTTTTTTAAAAATCCGAGATAATTTTATGATAGATATCCTGATATCTATATCTATATTATTCCTTCTTCCTCCCCCTCCCCTTCCCGTAAATCAATTTTCAAATGATGGCAGTGGAAGGTTTTTCTGGAAAAAAAAAAAAAAATGAAGTGCGGTTTGGTTTCCTTGTCAACGGAGGATGAAGTGAACAGCTGAGCAGCTCGCAGAGAGCAGGTACTTGGTCCCCTTGGAGGCGTTTCCCGGGTGTGCAATGGCAACACTGGTCCTGGCAAAGAAATTTGTGTGTGTGTGTGTGCACGCGCGCGCGTCTCTGGGCAGTGTCCGAGCCCGCGGTGGGGAAAGCCGCGCCAGGAGCCAGGGAGAACCAAAGTCGGTTTTCTGGCTCTGGAACGTTTTTGGATGTGCGCAAAATACAGTCCCCACCTCGGCTGCGCCCAGGTTATCTCCGCTGCAGGCGGCGTGGGCGCCTCAGGCAGCGGCCGGTAGACCCGGCGGGCGGCGGGCCCTGTAAGTTCGAGGGCCACTTGCAGAGCAGGAGGGGCGAGGGCTGTGAATGCAGCGCTGGCCGTCGGGCAGGTCAGGGCCGCCCAGAGAGCAGCGGGAGATGAGGGGAGAAGCGGCAGGGGCCGCGTCTTCCGCCAGGCTGGCTCCTGGGCCCCGGGGCGCGGGGTG